TTTTACATTATTCCGCTTTGGTTGCATATGGGCAGTCGGCATTTCCCTTGTACCCCTTCCAGCAATCTAAATGACAACCACTTCTCCGCCTTGGATACAGTGTTGTTTAAGAACGACAAACAGAAACAACTCGGGAGATTGATCCATCGCCACATAATTTGCTGTCATCAATTTATCAGTTATGTCAACGGGGCGGATTTCATTTGATCAAACAACGGTCACCGGTTCGATCCCGGCTCGTGGCACCATGTGATTACTCCTACTTCAGAGTGGGAGGGAGCAGTCGTATTGAATACCCAAAGGAAAGGTAATATAATCACAAAGCGCAACACAATCGATCACAACACGAATGAAGAAATCAGCAAAGATCACTATCCTTTTTGTTCTGTGACCGACCAGTCTGTGTGCTAGATAGTGATAAACGATCCGGTGACGGCGCCGATTGGACCAAAAAGCGGTAGAACCACAGCCAACCAACCAAACGATGAATAGCCTTGTTTCCTTGGACTAAAAAGCGGTAGAACCACAGCCAACCAACCAAACGATGAATAGCCTTGTTTCCTTGGACTAAAAAGCGGTAGAACCACAGCCAACCAACCAAACGATGAATAGTCTTGAATCCCTAGGCAATTATTCCAAACGCAGTTTACTCCACTTCAACCAAACACTTCAGCCAATAACTTCGCTTCAACCGATCAAATTTAACGAATAACTTTAACCAACTGCGACTGGTCCGGGAAACATTTTGAAAACATTATTGAATAATTACTGTAGAATTATGAAAAAAATCGACCAGCGACGAATTGCCGCCCTTCTCAACCCCCATTTCATAACCACTGACCTGTGTGCTTTGCAAGGGAAGTGAAAGTCTGAACTGTCTTGATCAAATGATCATTGGAAACAGCTTGATCAAGTGGAATTTATTGAACGCTATGATATGTATTCATATTTCAGTCATTTACGTAATTCAATTCTCATATAATTTAAAAAACAAGAGTTCAACTAATAAATAAGATAAATTATCCTCTTT